GTTTTTCCTCGGTACTTTTTTAGGAATTTCAGTACTCCGTGCTTCTTATTGGGTTGATTTCTGCGAACTACATTCGGTATCTTTGTGCCTCGTCCTTTCAACGAATTGCGATAAATCTTCATTGCGATTGGTTTCCGACGCTGTTGAGCTGGACGATATCTTTGCAGGTCAATCTCTGATCGCGGAGGACACGGGCAGTATCTCGCGTCGATGCCGTGCAAACCGAATGTACCCGGCTGAAAAAAGGCGTTCATTCTTATTTGACATTGCAGTTGGTTCGAATAGTGCCTGGAATATTTTCGTGTGTTTCCCAATGGATTGTCTGATTTAGAAGAAAGAGGGGACGTAACTCTGTGCAAAGCGACAGAATCAAGTGATGCGATAACAACATGATAATACGGGTTTTCTCAATTGAATTCGATGCTCTTGCAAAAATCTCGACACTGTCTTAGTCAGACTCTTTTTCACGAACCCTTCAAAATATAAGCACCACGAGAACTTAAGTGAAATTAGTGCACTGGATGAAAGATCCATGTTTCAGAGTTTAAAATTCGCTAGAGCAAGTCTTTAAAATTCGCTGTGTTAGGATATATTCTANGATCCATGTTTCAGAGTTTAAAATTCGCTAGAGCAAGTCTTTAAAATTCGCTGTGTTAGGATATATTCTAAAACTACAGTCATCTTTTTACATAAAACTTTATGAGCTCAGTGGTATCACATAATCGTCTTTCGTGAGGAACTGAATCATCCAATGCGTTTGTCTGATTCTAACCGGTCCTTGCTGACCACGCACTCCAGGCAGTCCAGGATATCCTGGCGTCCCTCTTGCGCCTATAGGTCCAGGATACCCACGCATACCAGGTCTACCAGGTGGACCTCGTTTGCCGGGTACTCCTTTTATTCCAGGGCGTCCTTTTGACCCTCGTTGAGGCTTCCCAGTCAATCCATTCCTGCCGGGTGGTCCTCTTGGACCAGGTTCACCTCGACGTCCTGAAAAGTAACGAACTGCTTTTGAGACGCGATCAAAATAGTTCTGCCATAAACCAGTAAGCACATGGTTGATCAATCTTAATTGAAGATCAATTATAAACGGGCGAATAAAGTTTTGAAGTTCCGGTATTTCTATTTGCGAGGAACTTCATTTGAGAAATTTCGATATCGTGAAGAAAGCGCAAAACGATTGTGACTTNCTGGTCCACGAGATCCAGGTCTTCCCACTCGACCAGCATTGCCCATCTTGCCTCTAGGCCCGACCGCTCCCACCCTTCCACGGCGACCTCGTGGGCCTGGAGGTCCGATAGGGCACTTGATACAACCAGTTTCTTTTTGCATGTTATAAACAATATTCACACCATCGATTCCGTGTCTGCCATTCAGTCCGGGTGCGCCATTTTCTGCGAAATGTTTCGTTAGTGACTGTTCAGCTTACTTTCGCTTACTTCAATCTCTTCATCGTAACGTATAATATCTCTCATCCTCACTATTCTATTTAGCCCCTCGAATGTAAGACAGAATATTCTCATTTTAAGAAACGGAACCAGAACACGGCCCTCAGATCCACGATTCCCCTGTGAATTTCGAATAAATACATAAATAAATGAGTTCAACAAATTTTAGGAGATATCTGCAGAATGGCCAACAGCCAACCTCCTGGTATTCCTGCATCTCCGGGTGGCCCAATTGGCCCTGCTTTACAATATGTTGGTTGTGGAGCACATGCTGAAAACATCGCATTAACAAGTCTGGAACACTTGAATGATACATTCACGAGTGCGGAACATTCATTATTTTTCAACGAACAAAANCATATTGGGTTGATGTTGCTCCAATACAAACCAAATGCTCGACATTGGCGGCAGTTGTCTAGTATCAGGATTCTTTCAAAATCCATAATTTTCCAAGCAGCGGTTTCTTTCGACAATACAAACTTTTCTCTTAGCTCTATCGCAGTGTTTCAAGCTCACTCAGTTCAAACGTATTGGTAGCTTGAAGATGTCAAGTTTCAGTGGATGCTATGAAAACAAACAGTTGTTGCGCTGAATTAAATAGATCAGTTGCTGTTGTCTAGCAGCGATCACTTATTGTCAGTCATTGAAATACTCTGTGTATTGGATATGCCCAATTATTGATCCGTGGCACTACTAGAACGAAAGATTCCTGATCAAAACTCCGTCTGTTTTTCAGTAGCTGAGGTCAGAGCTATCAAAAACTTATAAATTCTAGTCGTGTCACTAATGTCTAAGCATACTATTAGCTTGAAAATGACATTGCTCGAGATATGTAGCAGCATAATATTGCGTTGTTGCTGTGATGATGTGAATATTTTGCTCGAAGTTCATATTTGGCTGAAATTTCGAAAATATTTACTTCTCGAATCTAAAAGGTCTAAATTGCCTCACCACAAATCACATGAGTTTGATATCGTTTTGTGAGCACACCCTGTCCCTCTCGTTTAACAATATCTTTGAAAGTGTTTCGATTCGAAGACGGATACGAGTGCGCTTTTGTCATTGCATTAACGCTCATTATTTCTCGCCAAGCATCGTTCGCCAGAACCTGAAAGCCTCACAATAACTTTTTCGTTTCGATAGAGCTAGACATCCATCCCACACTGAGTCATTTTTGCGATGAGAAAATGTGTTCTGGTAGAAGTTTTG